TCAGCAGCAGGGTGGGAGGTCACGCCAGAGGCGGGAGGGCCCGACATCCACTGTCCAGCGCTAGCCTCCGTGAGGTCCAGTAAACCTCCACTCTCAGCAGCAGGAACAGCTGGTCGCAGAGTGCCAGGCGGTAACTCATCTGGGAGGGAAGGAGTACGCGGAGCGATGATAAGGGGTGATGTCCATGAGGCTGCACTTCAGGGAGGTCGGAACAATCAAGCGGAGGAGGCGGGTCATGACGAGGAGGGGCTGGCGGAGGATGTGGATCAGAAGGAAGATCGGTTGGCCACACCGCGGGCGGCGCTGAGCTGGCGCTTCCAGACGTAGGTGATGTAGCCCTAGCTGGCGACGTCAGAAGATTCATACAGGCAAGGACATCCGCGTCCGCGCCAGGAGGCGGCGGCCCCTTCTGAGCTGCCAGGAGGCCATGCTGGGCAGCGAGTCGCAGACGGCGCAGGCGGACGCTTCCCATCTTCACGTGGCCTCGGCTCGACACCAAAAAGGTACTGGAACTCTTCGTCGCTCACGAAGACGTTCTCAAGAGGCGGCGGAGGGCCAGCGCCGTCGGCGCCTCTCCTGAGCGCTCATCTCGCCCAAGAGACGAAGGTCTTCGTCCGTGGGCGAAGGGTACTCTGGTGGCCTCGGGGGCTCGCTCTCGCCGGCCACAGAGACGATAGGGTCATCAGCGCGGAGGAGGAGGAGGAGGAGGAGGAGGAGGAGGCCCCCTCAGTCAGGGCGCCGCCCAAGCAGACACGACAGGAGATCCTGCCAGAAGAATCTGAGGGGGGCACCTGCCCCAGGGCTCTGCGGGCCCTTCTGGGAGGTAAGATGTTCAAGCGGGAAGCCCGTTGGCAGGGCAATCCCACCAGCCCTCTGGGCGTAGGTGGTCAAAGGAGCCTTATCTTCCAACACCCTTTTTCCCCTTCGGGGAAGGGTTTACCCCTCCCCCAGCCCCCTCTCCTGGACCCGGAGGGGGGTGTCAGAGGGTCATTTGGGGCCCAAGATGGCTCCAGGAGCACTTCAGAGAGCCCAAGATTACCTCCAAGATGGCTCAAGATAGCCCAAGCTGGCTCAATATGGCTTCCAAGATGCTCCAAGAGGCCCCAAGACCGTTGCAAGACGTCTCCAAGTTGGCACGGAGCCTTCCACCGAGGCCCCCGAGAGGCCAAAATCCGATAACAACCGAATGGCAATCAATGAGTGTTGCCTTCTCGCCTTTTTGCTTTCGGTGGCCTTCCGAGGCCTCAAGATGGCTCCAAGAGAGCCCACGAGGGCCCTAAGAGAGACCCAAGAGAGTCCCAAGATGGCCCCAAGAGCGCCCCAGAACGCCCCAAGAGCGCTCCACGAGGGGTTCAAGAGGCGATTTGGGAGGCTTCTAAAGGGGGAGGCTCATTTAAGGAACCCCCGTTGCTCAAGCTCTTCCAAGATGGCCCCGAGAGCGCTCCTAAGGCTCCCAAGTGCGCCTCAAGAGGGCCCCAAGAGGCGCCCAGGAGGCCCCAAGAGGCGCCCAAGAGGCCTCCACGAGGCCCCCAAGAGACCCCCAGGAGGCCCTAAGAGGCTCCCCGAGGCACCCAAGACGCTCCAAGAGGCCCGCCGGACCGCCAAGAGGCCCCCAAGAGCGCTCCAAGAGGGACCCTTGTGAGCTGCCCACTTCCCTGATCGAGGCAACTCCTATGGGCATCGCTCTGGATGGGCTGGTTGGGTTACTTTTTTCGTCGCAGCCGCAAGCGAAGGCGCATGCGGCGTCAGAGGTCAACACTCTCTGCGGGCGAAGCCTAATTGCCCAGCGGACAAGTGGTTGGGTTACGCGGAACATCAAGAATGTCTTAGTCGGTGTGCCCACTGGATTCCATTATTTGCTCTGGGGAGCCCGCACCAAATCCATGGTCCCGCGCGTCGGGGACTGGCGGGATCGCTCCGAGGCCCCGCATGCCACAGAGGGCCCCCACCTCCACATGCAGCTTGATCATCACGATCGTTACTGCCATCACGGCGGCCACGAGCACGTTGTGGAAGTCGTGCCACTGTGAGGGACTGTGGGCCGGCTTCGGCAGCAAAACCGACGACACCAAACCCCATCGAGTGCGGCGCACGGGATCCACCACGCCGGCAGCACGAGGATCCTGCACCGCCGCGGCGGCGCAGCGCCATGGCCCGGTTCCACGAAGCGCTCGACCTTTTTGAGGATCGCCCTGCCAAACGTTGCTCGACCTTCGAGGATCGCCTTCAAGGATCGCCCTGCCAAGAGTTCCACGAAGCGCTCGACCTTTCAAGGATCGCCTTCAAGAAGCGCTCGACCCGTAGGGAACGCCTGCTCCAGGCCACGCCAGCAGGCGCGACGGTCGCCGGCTGCCCGAGGACCCGGCGCAGGCATCGCCCGCGCGACCGCCTGGGGGGGCCGCAGGGGGCGGCAGCACGTGCTGCGGAGTGTTTGTCTTGTGCGCGCGACGCTGTCGCCGTGGAGAAGACAGGAGACGGGGGGCGCTGGGCCAGGAGGAGGAGGAGGGGGAGGAGGTGGAGGAGGAGGAGGAGGAGGAGGAGGAGGTGGAGGAGGAAGAGGAGGATGGGGAGGAGGAGGAGGAGGAGGAGGGGAGGAGGAGGAGGAGGAGGAGGAGGAGGAGGAGGAGGAGGAGGAGGAGGAGGAGGCGAGAGCCCGCGGAGTCTCCGCGGCCGCCGAGGGGGCAACTGCGACGGTCTGGCGCACACGGGTCTGGTCGGCCGCCCGACCTGGGGGCACGCTGGGCCGGGGCGAGCTCATCGCCCCTGGAGCGAGGCGAGTCAACGAGAGGGACGGGAGGCGGGTGCTACTGAGCGGCCTGCGAGTCCAGAAGGCGCTCGGGCCGAAAAGGCCGAGGAGGAAGAGGGCCAAGGGGAGATTGTGCGCGCGCGCTCCTGCGCGCGTGAGCGAGCGCCGGGGGACAGGAGGGGGAGGAGGAGAGAGGCCAGAGTACGGTGGGGGTCCGACCACGAGAAGCCTTCCACGAGAAACCCGACCCTGAGGCGATCGGAGGTCAATTGATTTTTGGTGCGGGAGCGTCACGCCTTCCCTCGCAAAACCATCGAAGCCCAAGAAACCCAGGGCACCCTGGAGGCAAGCAGGGTGTGTCTTGGCATGGACCCTCACTGTAAAACCAAGATAGATCAACGATGCTGCAACAAGGGCTCCCAACTTCGCGCTTCGCGCTGCGCGAAGCGCGAAGTGCGAATAACTTCGCGCTCTCGTGCCGCCTCCCAGTGGAGAAGAGGAGGATGAGGAGGAATCGGAGCCGAACCGCGAAGCGCGAAGCGCGAATAACTTCGCGCCCTCGAGGGCGCCCTCGAGGCAAGCAGGGTGTTTCTTGGCATGGGCCCCCACTGTAAACCCAAGATGGATCAACGATGCTGCAACAAACCCTGCCGTCCCGAGGCCCCCCGCCTCCCTGCGCGAGGCGCCCCCCCTTGAAGGACAAGCGCTCCATGGGCGCGCTGTGCAGGCGCGAGCTCCGTTCTGAGAAAAACCGCCCTCCTCCTCCCCCTCCTCCTCCTCCTCCTCCTCCTCCTCCTCCTCCTCCTCTTCCTCCTCATCCTCCTCATCCTCCTCCCCCTCCTCCTCCGTCCCCTCCTCCTCCTCCTCCTCCTCCTCCTCCTCCTCCTCCTCCTCCCCCTCCGTCCCATCCTCCGTCCCCTCCGTCCCCTCCTCCTCCTCCTCCTCCTCCTCCTCCTCCTCCTCCTCCTCCTCCGTGTCCTTCGGGCCAGAACGAATGCGGCAATGTCGGGCTGTACAGCTCGCTCAAGCGCCCAACGACAGCAACGGCTTGCGAAGGAGCCGCCTTCCCCCTCGTGCAGCGACGACATACTTCTTCAAACTTCTGCTCATAAGAGCGAGCCATATTTTGGGCGAGAGCCCCTCTTCGAAAACGCACCAACCTCGAATTGCGAAACTGCTGCATAAACCTTCACTTGTCGCATTGTTGTACCGAAAAACCCCGGCGATTTGTATGTTTTTAAGCTAAGGATATTCGGCATTGCTCTACTCTGTAGCGCGGGAGAGCGGCACGCATTGCGAAACTCGATGCTGACGCTGACGCTAGCTTAGCAACTGGCGATGTATGTATATATATATATACACATAAAAGGAAACGAACCAGCAACATCCATCCGCACAACTGTCGGAAACTGTAAAGACTACGGCGCACCGCGCTAAGGCGGTACCCGATTATCAAGTTGACACGCCATCCATTCGCGTAGCTGCTGGAAGAATATAGAACGAATGTGCGCGGCACAAAGACGGGAGCCACACATTGAAAACGTTCGGCCCTGTATCCGTGCTTCTGTTCGAGATGTCTAGAGCAAAAATACGCAACAACAAGGGAAAACCACCTTTTGAAAACGACAAGACCTCCATCCGTGTAATGTCGGAAGCTTGTAAGCTTCAAGATCGACAGACGCAAAGAAGTCTCAATCGAAATGCCCAGCCCAGACCACTGACACGTCTGGTAGCGCAACAGAGAAGAATCACTTCAAGGAAAAATGATTGAGGGGGAGGGGGCAGAAGGAAGAGGAGGCGGGGTCGAGGAGGGGACGAGGGACGACCACGATGACGAGGCTACTCAAAGACCAGCATCGATCGAGCCAAGAGGAGGGCGAAGAGCAGCTTTCCGGTAGACCGCGCACGTGCGCGCAAACAAGAAGGCTGGCTTATCACGTGCGTCGGTGCTGGCTGGAAACTGACGTCTTGAATGTGTGCGACAGTGCAAGCGAAGCTGCGGGCCCTCATCGCTCCTCCCTCATTCCCTCTGCTAAGTTTTACCATCGACCCTCGGGGATCGAGGAGGCAGCTTTTTGAACGACTTTGGAAAGTGTTTGACAAGCTTGGCCATGTGTTACTTCTGTGGAGGCCTCCGGAAACTGCTGGGGACCTCCAGGGACGTCCAGGAATTCAGGATCCAGGGCGGAACCAACGCTTACAGTCCTCATCCCTTTTCCCGCGTACCTCCTTCCTCCTCCCATCCCCTCCCATCCAATACTGCAGTACCACTTTGCGCCACTCCTCTTCCAGTGCGCCAATGTGAACAGGCTCGAACATGCATACGAACCCGAGCTTGGAGAGGTCCATCTGGGAGCAGCGGCACGAAATGGCCTGGGCGAAGATGTTGGCCTCGGACATTCCGTTGAAGAACGAAAAGCGCCCACCCGGACGCAGTATCCTCGGCAGGCGCATAAAGAACTCAAGCATGTCGCCGTACATCTCGGCCCACGTGTCAAAAAAAATGCCGTCGAATGGTCCGCAACTCGCTATCTGATCCGATGCGTCCTGCCACCGTCCGAAGCAAACCTGGACATGGCCCTTTTCCAGCCACCCGCGCCTCTGTATCTCCGCGTACACATCAGGGTGCGCCTCCGAGATGCAGTGCGATCTCGGACTCCTCTCCTCGAGGAGGCCGTCGATGATCCCCAAGCCGAAACCAACGTTGAGCACGGCTTTTCCTGGGGCGGGTGCGATCAAGTCCGCATGCCTGACCATCAGCGGGGTTTCCCAGCCCATCATAATGCCCTTCCCATCAGCGTCATAGAGAACATCGCCCTCGTACTTCAGCTTCTGCTTGACGTAGGCCTTATTGTGCTCCGAGCTGAAGTTCGAAGGCCGGGGCCTGTCACAGGCGCTCGTCACCAGCAAATCAAAAACCTCTTGGTGGCCCGCGGCGAATGCAAGCTCCCCTGCAGTGATACCAAAGGCATCCTGCGCGAGCCGCTTGCTCTGCGATTGCACTCTCACTGCCGCGGCATGCGACATGACAAGCGCAGGGTGGAGGTGGTGAGGTCGGCAGTGAGAAGCAAGCAGAAGCTGGCTCGGTGGAGTGCGAGGCCGTGACTCTCTCTCTCTCTCTCTCTCTATCTATATAGATTCCTCTCTCTCTCTCTCCTTCTGGTTATACAGACGGAGGACGCTCTTATCATACATCGACAAGCAGAGCTCGTGGAACTCAACTTGGGCAGGAGAGCGTTGGGGGGGCGGCTGGGTTTGATCAGGGCCCTCTTTCCCATGTCGATTGGACGAGGTGTTGCTGCAAACGACAGCGTGCCGCCCCCGGACAACTGGGCACCGAACGCAGAGCGCTGCCGACCTTTCGAGGGGGTGCGTGGCCCGCGTGGCCAGCGACAGCCTACGGCCCTCGCCTGCCGCGGCGCCACGCATGGATGCCCCCGTAGGTTACACCTCTCTTTTGTGTCCTTCGCAGTCTCGCCCTGGGCCCTCCCTCTCTCCGCTGTCAACTATCCATGTAGATATGTATGTGTATATGCATATGTGTATGTAGACATATATAGATATACATATTAAAGAAGTGCTGCTCCTCCTCTTCCTTCCACTCCCTGCTCTTTACGTATGAAGCTCCTGCTTTTCCTCCTCTTCCTCCCACCTCCTCCTCCTCCTCGTCATCATCATCAGCATCATTACCATATTCATCAGCATCATCCTCCTCATCATCATCATCATCAGCAGCAGCAGCATCCTCGATATTACCATCGTCATCATCATCATCATCATCATCATCATCATCATCATCATCATCAGCATCATCAGCAGCAGCAGCAACATCATCGTCATAATCAGTAGCATCATCATCACCACCATCATCACAAATTATCTCCTCCTACCCTGCTGTTTTCCTCCTCCCGCCTCCTTCTCCCTCCTCCTCCTCCTCCTCCTCCTCCTCCTCCTTCTCCTCCTCCTCCTCCCTTGTCCTTTTCCGCCTCCCTCATACGCCTCCGTTCGCCTTCCCCTCCTCCTCCCTTGTCCTTTTCCTCCTCGCTGCTTATCGTCCCTTCCCGACCTTCTCCTACTCCTCATCCCTGTAATCCTCCTGCTCCTCCTCCTCCTCCTCCTCGTCCTCCTCCTCCTCCTCCCCCTCCTCCTCCTTATCCCACCCAGAACCTGCCAAACGTCGGGCAGCTTAACCGCCCGCTCCCCCACCCAAAACTTCGAGCACGCCGGCACTTGCCGCTAGAACGCACCAGGACGAGCAACTGACGGAACACGTCAGAGGACAAGGAATACGGGCGTGGCAGGATGGGACGTAGAACGCGTGCAGAACTCCGTGACGCCCATCCGAGTCAAAACATGCTATGGCAGAACAGAACAGGACCGCGGCCGGGGTTGGTTGGGGAGGACACGCAAGAGGACACAAGACACTTCCGAGGGCTACCTTAAAATTACGCTACCGAGGAACCCCACATACTTCGTTTAATCACTTGTGTTCGCACAGCTGACGTGCAACATGTGGACAACGCTCGCAGCCGCTACCATGCTGCTACCGTAGAGAGGCGTTCATAGTGGGACCACCCCCTGCGCACCCATACGGCGTCAAGAAAATGCCACGCCTGTTTTGTCTTGGACGTGAGGCGCGCATACCGAGACCACCCCCTGCGCACCCCCTGTGGGACCGAGAGCATGCCACGCCTGCGACGCGAGGCGCGCATAGGGAGACCACCCCCTGCGCACCCCCTTATGGGGCCGAGAGCATGCCACGCCTGCTGTGCCGTAGACGAGAGGCGCGCATAGCACGACTCCCCCTGCGCACCCCCCATGAGGTCGAGAAAGTTCCACGCCTGCTGTGAACTGGACGAGAGGCGCGCATAGGGAAGCCACCCCCTGCGCACCCCATATGGGGCCGAGAGCATGCCACGCCTGCTGTGCCGTGGACGAGAGGCGCGCATAGGGAGGCCACCCCCTGCGCACCCCATATGGGGCCGAGAGCATGCCACGCCTGCTGTGCCGTGGACGAGAGGCGCGCTCAGGGGAACCACCCCTTGCGCACCCCGTGTGGGATCGAGAGCATGCCACGCCTGCTGTGCCCTGGACGAGGCGCGCATAGGGAGACCACCCCCTGCGCACCCCCTATATGGAGCCGAGAGCATGCCACGCCTGCTGTGCCCTGGACGAGAGGCGCGCATAGGGAGACCACCCCCTGCACCCCCCCTCTGATGGTTGGAGAGCATGCCACGCCTGCTGTGCCCTGGACGAGAGGCGCGCATAGGGAGACCACCCCCTGCGCACCCCCTTTTATGGGGTCGAAAGCATGCCACGCCTGCTGTGCCCTAAACGAGAGGCGCGCATAGGGAGACCACCCCCTGCGCACCCCCTGTGGGGTCGAGAACATGCCACGCGTGCTGTAAACTGGACGAGAGGCGCGCATAGGGAGACCACCCTTTGCGCACCCCATATGGGGCCGAAAGCATGCCACGCCTGCTGTGCCGTGGACGAGAGGCGCGCATAGGGGAACCACCCCTTGCGCACCCCGTGTGGGGTCGAGAGCATGCCACGCCTGCTGTGCCCTGGACGAGGCGCGCATAGGGAGACCACCCCCTGCGGCCGACAGAATGCCACGCCTGCTGTAAACTGGACGAGAGGCGCGCATAGGGAGACCACCCCCTGCGTACCCCGTTTTACGGGGTCGAAAGCATGCCACGCCTTCTGCGCCCTGGACGAGAGGCGTGCGTAGGGAGACCACCCACTGCGCACCCCCTATGGGGTCGAAAGCATGCCACGCCTGCTGTGCCCTGGACGAGAGGCGCGTTCAGGGAGACCACCCCCTGCGCACCCCCTTTCTATGGAGCCGAGGGCATGCCACGCCTGCTGTGTCCTGGACGAAAGGCGCGTTCAGGGAGACCACCCCCTGCGCACCCCCGTGGGGTCGAGAGCATGCCACGCCTGCTGTGCCCTGGACGAAAGGCGCGCATAGGGAGACCCCCCCCTGCGCACCCCCTTAATGGGGTCGAAAGCATGCCACGCCTGCTGTGCCCTGGACGAGAGGCGCGCATAGGGAGACCACCCCCGGCGCACCCCCTTATGGGGTCGAGAGCATGCCACGCCTGTTGTGCCCTAGACAAGAGGCGCGCATAGGGAGACCACCCCTGCGCACCCCGTGCGGGGCCGAGAGCATGCCACGCCTGCGACGAGAGGCGCGCATAGGGAGACCACCCCCTGCGCACCCCCTTTTATGGGGTCGAAAGCATGCCACGCCTGCTGTGCCCTGGACGAGAGGCGCGCATAGGGAGACCACCCCCTGCGCACCCCCTTTATGGGGTCGAGAGCATGCCACGCCTGCGACGAGAGGCGCGCATAGGGAGACCACCCCCTGCGCACCCCCTTATGGGGTCGAGAGCATGCCACGCCTGCTGCGCCCTGGACGAGAGGCGCGCATAGGGAGACCACCCCCTGCGCACCCCACGTTGTGCTGAGCAGCGCTGTGTTGTGATGCGCTGCGCTGCGTTGTGAAGTGTGCTACGCGTGTCTCATGTACGTGCCGTGCAGGTGTTGCGCGTGGGTGAGGGAGTGTATGTGTGTGTCGGTGTGTGTTTGTGTCCGCGTGTGTTTGTGTGTCTGCGTGTGTCTGCGTCGGTGCGCCTGTGCATGTACGCACGTATGTCACGTCTGCCACGCTTTGCGGGAGAGGGGGGTGCGCGGGTGAGACGCGGGTGCGACGCGGCAGAAAATTACGCGACCGAGGAACCCCACATACTTAATTCAAATATTATGCGTTTGCTGTTCAAGCTCATCTATGCGGAAACCTGCGTTCTAAACCCTCGTCGCGAATGTTTCCCTATATTGTCATCCAACACACTACTGAGTGAACCTCCTCCCTCTTCCCCGCATTCTATCCTCCATCGGGGAAAAAATCGAGGTGGTCACCGAGGGCCGTTTCCTGGGATCGCAACAACCAACGAGGTGATGCAAAACGATTTGCCACAGCTCGAGTAGTCAGGGGGGGCACTTGGAAGTTGGTACAAATCACACCCCCTCGCCTCATGCTGCGTTCTCCCGCACCCCTGCCTCCCTTTATTTCCTCGGTCGGTCTACTCCTTCTAGTCCCATGCAGTTTCCACACGTCTGTCGCCGCGTCTCTTCGACGGAGAGTCTCTGAGGTGCGCGCGCGAAAGACTTGCATGGCAATTGTGATCCGCCTGCGTGCGACATGCGAGTGATCTTGAATGGAAAACCTCTGGGCTGCGGCTGCCACGACGACAGAAGCTGGGCGGACGCTCCGAAATCGTCCAGAAGCGGCACGGGCCGCGCGAATTCGACGCGGCTGGACAGCGCTGCCTTTCTCGGACAGACTCTGGCGGCCGTGCGCTCCGACGACCTCACGCCGCTGGCAGGATCCATTGGCGTTCCAGGGCGAAGGCCTCGATCTCCCGCGTCTCCGTGGCCATGCGCTCATCGAACTTCCGGAGGGCTTTGAGCACGGACGGAGGCGGTGCACGGAGGAGGCAATTCGGCCACTACACATTTTGGGGGCATGCCTGTGGGCGCGTGCTGTCGTCTTTGAGCCTGCTTGAGCCGAGGTGTCTACAGCTAACCTTGCTGAGAATACTTTTGCCGCATGCACGCCAGAGGCACCTGTGCATACTGCCCAAGATATAGAATCCAGACAATGTCAAGGCTGCTACGCTACCGACGTACCCTCTCTGCTGTCAAGAGAATGACACGCCTGGTAGGCCCTGCGACATTGGCGCGTATAGAGACCGCGGTGAGAGACCACCCCCGTGCGCACCCCCTCCGGTGTCCAGAAAATGCCACGCCTGCTGGGCCCTGCGACATTGGCGCGTATGGGGGCCGCGGTGAGAGACCACCCCCTGCGCACCCCCTTTGGTGTCGAGATAGTGCCACGCCTGCGAGGCAGCGTTTAGGGGCCGCGGTCAGAGACCCCCTCCTTTGCGAACCCCCTCCAGTGCCGAGAA